TCGACAAAAAGTAATAAGTCTGACGTTACCTGTTGGGGAAGATCATTTATGTAGATCAAGAAGAGAAGAGGCCCTAGTACTGAGCCCTGGGGGACCCCACTAGGACATTCCATAGCCTGAGATAAAGTGAAATTAACCCTAACCTTAAAGTGTCGAGTTTTTAGGTATGAAGTAAGCCAATCGATTAGAGGTGGTTTGATACCTAGTCGTTTGAGCTTGTTGATAAGACACAAGTGGTTAACCTTATCAAAAGCTTTTGAGAAATCAAGGTAAATGACATCAACCTTTCCCTTGCAATCGAGGATGCTTGTCCATCTGTCCACCGCAGTCAGCAGGTTGGTTATACAAGAGTAACCCTTCCTGAAACCATGCTTTTGGGGTGAGAAGAAATTTAAGGACAGCAGATAGTCATTTAAACCGTCGCATATCAGGGACTCCATGAATTTTGAAGGTAATGACAGAAGAGCCACCGGCCGATAACTTGAAGGTTCATTGCGTCGATCACCTTTGAAAATTGGTGTGATGTGAGCCAACTTTCAATTTTCCGGTATTTCTCCGCGTTAAATATTGAATATCTATTTTCCGAGTAATCTCGTATTCAGCTTTGAGGATTGTGTGGTTATGGTCCAATGCCGATACAAATACTCTAATAAAAGCATCTAAAATCCTAAAATTGCTTGGCTTCATTCTCCGTAATTTTTATCAAAATGAATCTAAAATACTTCTTTATAAAGTTTATGTAGGACCTATCGTTGAATACTGCTCGTTCTTATCTTCCTGCCCACGTCTATCTGGTATACTAAAGGTGGAAGGAATACGACGAGACTTCACCCGCAAAATACTTAAGACTGACTCAGTCATTGACTACAGTTCCCGATGCCAAATCTTAGGAATAGCACACCTTTTGGAAAGAAGGCTTGGGTCTGATTTGATTCTCTAATTCAAAGTACTCAAAAACCTTACTTATTCTACATGTAAGATAGTTCTTGCTCGAGATTCACATGAATAAGAACTTCGAAACAAAGTACTCACCGTTAAAGTTTAGAAATACAGATAACAATAATTTATTCTCAAATAACAGTTTGTTACATGAGGCATGACAGCTTACAGGCAAGATCAAACTGTTACAAATGATACAATATCCACTGTAGTTAATTACTCAGCAGGGTTGATAATTTATAAGATATGAAATGTAAATGAAGTCAGTATAACAGTTGGCGCGCTTCATGAAAGTGGCGTTGCGACGTGCAACTGATAGTCAAGGATAGATCCATTGAAGGTGAGGCCTTCTAGAAATTGCAACCTTATATCGCTTTGGAATATTTGAGGCTTCAAGGAAGGTGCAGGATGAAGTCACCCGTTCCATATCTCAAGAGGGCTGTAAAAGGGAGCAAGTAAAAGAAAGGGCGAGAGGCAGAGCAGCCAATGTTCAGTTTCAGTTTCAATTTCAGTTTGGGAAGGACAGGAGGCTCGATGGCCTATGTTAGTCCTGGCAATGGTGGTCTCTCAGTTGATCCAACTTTCTTTTGAAAGAGTCGACGGATGGAGCCTCAACCACGTGCTGAGGTAGTGAATTCCACTCGTTGATGATTCGATTGGAAAGTCGATAGTCAGCTGACAAGGAATTTGTTCTCGGCTTGTGAACTTTTTTGGAGTGTCCTCGTAAATTCTCTGTTTTGGAAGACAAGAAAAATGAGGGCATATCAGGTGCAAATTTATCACTAAGCAATTTGTAGACTGTAATCAAGTCGCCTCTAGTTCTGCGATATGACAACGGGAAAAGGTTCAGCTTGGCCAGTCGAGATTCATACGGAAGCTTCGCTGTTCCGGGAACCAGCTTAGTCGCCGTTCTCTGAACCTTTTCCAGAAGCTCACTGTCTTTTTTAAAGCAGGGGCAAGCCGCTTGTATGCAGTACTCAAGTTTAGGGCGAACGAACACTGTGTACAAGGTCAAAAACGTCTTAGCGTCGACATGACTAAAAGCTCTACGTATTGACCATAACGTTCTAAAACTTTTGGCGGCTATTGCACGGCAGTGTGCAGTAGTCTTTAAGTCTTGACTAACGATAACTCCTAAGTCATTATATGTCTGGACGACAGGTAGCTCAGTGTTATTAATCGTGTATGTATCTGTGCCTTGATGACCGATATGCATCACAACACACTTGGAAGTATTTATCGGCAACTGCCATGTTTGAGACCATTCAGATAACTTCTTCAGGTCATTTTGAAGTTCTAAGCTATCACTCTTACATCGTATCGTTCTCCATATCTTGACATCGTCAGCATATAGCAAGACCGATGATGATAGGAGACAAGGAAGGCCATTTACATACAAGAGGAATAGCACTGCCCCCAAAACTGTACCCTGGGGGACTCCACTAAGCACGGTTTCCCAGCTAGACAACTTGGAGTTCACCCTTACTCTTTGTTGACGCCCAACTAAGAAGTCTTTTATCCACATCAATAAATTACCTCCAATCCCGACATGTCTTAACTTATATAACAGCCGGTTGTGCGGAACTTTATCAAAAGCTTTACTGAAATCAATGAAGGCGACGTCTACAGGTAGCTTTTGGTCCTTAAGAGCACACCACCTTTCACGAGCCACTAATAAGTTAGTGAGACAAGAATAACCTGTTCTGAAGCCATGCTGCTTCTCCGAGAGGATCCGGTTTTTATCGAGATACTTAAACAGCTCCTTCCGAATAATCTTTTCTAATATTTTAACAACCACACTAGTTAGGCTAACGGGGCGGTAGTTCTCAGGTTTGTGTTTTGTACCTGTTTTGAAGACAGGACTTACTATGGCGTTTTTCCAATCTTTCGGTAAGCGACCCTGCGTAACGGATAGGTTAAAGCATGTACTTAAAGGGTTCGCAACGAAGTTAGATAATTCCTTCAGTAGCCTAGGATGTAATTCATCGGGCCCCGTGGATTTACCTATGTCAAGCTTATTTAGCAGACCAAAGACATCGAGTTCTTTAATGGTCACGCTATCCAGTGTATGTATGGGGGGATCTGTATACGCTGACGAGAAGGGCGCTTCTATGGTATACACGTTGCTAAAGTAGTTCGAGAATGCTTGAGCCTTACCAAAGTCGTCCTCCACTAATGATGAAGCAGTACTGTCTCCCCATAGAGCAGGAATATTTCCTTTTCTCCTTGTCCTTTGGTTTATATAGGAATACAAGCGTTTAGGACATTCTATGGATTCCTTAACAAGTTTTTCTTCGTACAATTTTCTAGACTTACGGAGGGTCGAGGCACAAGTGTTCCGAGCCTTTCGATACTGAGATTTTGACTCATCAGTCCCCAGTAACCTAAATCTATCCCACGTTCTCCTCTTCTTACGGAGAAGGATACGGACCTCCCTACTGAACCATGGTGGTGAGTTTTTCGGCCCCTTTGGTATAGTCCAAGGGATGTGAGGTGTGGTAACTTTTAAGTATGATTTTCGAAATGCGTCCCAGGCCGTTTTAATGGAGGACTCTGGGTCTATTGTCCAATCTATTAACGATGCTGAGTGCATGATGTCTGGTATGTTTGCTTTCCAGACGTTGGGTCTGGACTGGACTGACGCGTCCTCATGACTGGCAGTTATATGGAAGTCGAAAGTTAAGACTGCGTGGTCACTTTTACCTAAGGGTGGCATATGGTGGAGGTTCGCAACATCATCCTCATAGTGAGTCAGTATAAGATCTAATAAGGATGATTCAGTGTCCGGATCGTACCTTGTCGCTTCTTTCACATGTTGCACTAGAGCACATGTGATAACCGCATCAACTAGTTCCTGCTCGAAAGAATTCTCCGACGATTCAGTTCGCAGATTTTCCCAGTCTACCATAGGTGCATTAAAGTCCCCTAGGATTACACATCGACCACCTTGGGACCAAGTATTGAGACTGCTTAACAGGATCTCATTTGCCTCACAGCTTGGACTGCGATAGACCAAACCAATCAGCAGCTCTTGTCCCTTGCATTTTAAGCGAAGACTAACTAATTCACACGTCCCACTCTCATGGGATACACTATCGATAATGGTAAATGGGATAGCATTCCTAATGAATAGGGCTACTCCCCCTCCTTTGCGCTTTTGTGTTCTGTCGGCCCTTACTAACGTAAAGCCCTCGAAATCAAGTTCTAAACTATCTATAGCCTGTGTCAGCCAGGTTTCTGTTACTGCGATTATATCTGGCTTTGTAGAGTCAATCTGTACACCTAGTTCCGATCGCTTATTAAGTAAGCTTCGTGCATTGGTGTAACAGATCCGAAGCCTGTTTAAGTGCCTTCGTGCTTCACCCAGAGTGGCTTCGGCATCATTCTCTGTCGAAGTCTTACAACCCGAAAATTTACAATTTTCAGGTCCTTTTCGCCAGCGTCTAACCTATGTTGTAGTTCTTTCTCGGCTTCCCGTCTTTTAACACGGTCTGCCAACGGTAGGTCCTTTCGGATAAAGACTCCTGAACCCTTTAATTTGTGTCCATTTTGTAAAATTAGGTCACGTTCGTTTGAAGAGCCGAATACTACTTTAAGCAGTCTGGAATGATTTGGTTTCGAGTCCGTTAGACTCCCTAGTCTATACACCTTTAGCAAGGTGACCCCAGTCATATTTTGAGGCATGAGTTGATTAAGCAGCTGCCTAATCAGTACAATGTCATGCTCAAAACGAGCTTTAGGTTCAGAGCTATCGCTCTCCTTAATTCTATGAAAAATAGCTGATCTGTCGCTATGATCAGCTTTCGATTTTTCAACCACTTTTACGGGGGCAGGTTTCCCTTTTATATCAATACTTTTCTTCCTTACAACCTTTACCCATTCGTCAACGGTGCTGGTAGAAGCAATAACAGTTGCGTCAAACCTAGTGTTGGGTTTTGGGGGGTTGTCGACGACCTGAGGGGTCGTGTTATGTTTACCATTTGAAACCGATCGAGCCTTGCGATTGCGGCTCCTAGGTGTTTCCTGTTGGATCCCATCTGGGAGACGGGGAACAGAAGACCCTACTTTTCTTGAGCTTTTTTTAAGGCAGGCCCCTTTGGAAACTGCTTTTCCTTCTTTGACGGGCGTGAGTCATCTATCACCGGACTCACCTTAGTTTCCTTCACATTGATTTGCGTGTCAACAGATCGAGTGCTGTTTGACGCGTTCCGACTATGCTTGTTAAAACACTTCTTTGCAGCATCAACCAGTGAGATGGCCTCGGTTAACAAGCTGTTTGCATCCGAGCAGCACTGTTGACAAAGCCACACACAACCCTTCTTACTGAACCGTTTGAAAGCAGCAGGCGTTAAGTTCGTGCAAACTTCGTGGTACCAGCCTTTGCACTCGTCGCACTGCATTCCGCTTTCAACAGGATAACGACAACCCGGACGTTGGCAACTGCTCTTTTTACACTGTCCGGTCATTTAGGAGGGGTTTTTTCAATATGCGATGATACCCAGAAACAAAAAAATTGTCAATGACCAAAAAAAGTGAACAGCTGTAGATTGCTAGGACCAAAAGTACTAACAGATACAGTTGAAAAAGAGGTACTAAAGAGTACCAACGACAAAACAGTAAAAACGATACTTTAGTCGAATACTTTAACTGAAATAAATTCAATTAAAGTGAAAAACAGTAGTCTTGATACGTAATAAACGATAAAAACAATGAAATTTACTCAGCGAAGAAAAATACCACTGTCCTTTTTAAATAGCGCGCGAAAAGTGAAAGAAAATTTAAGGTATGATTACTCAGTTTAATTTTCTTTTATTAGAGTATTTACTAAGCAAGAGCATTCTAATAGGTTTAAGAAAACAAGTGTGAACAATGTATGAGTGAATAAACAGCTGACAAACGGAGGTGGTTCGGAAAGGAGCTGAGAGTATGGGACTATGTGCAGTTATAAAATATAGCGCTAAAAACAGTATTGTGATACACAATTGGCTATTTCCCTTTTTTTCGAAGCTATTGTAGCCTTTTTACTTATATATAAGTTTTTTTATAGATTTCATAGGGTCTTGAGTAGGCTTCGTCTTTTAGTGAATTGTCTAGTTTGCTTGTAATAGGATTACTGGGTAGGCAGTGAAACCAATTCAACGTTCTAAACACGATTTAAAGAGGTATTTTGCGTGATAAATCATCATTAATACCTTAAGTTCGTAACATCCCACTAAACCATAAGAAGCCGTAATTAAACAAAATGTTCTGCTCTACAGACATGGGTGGATTGAAGTTATCTTCCTACCATCATGTTTGCTGGTCAGTAACTCGGGAAAACTTCTTCCTTATCAAGTATGAAGTAATATGGAACAGTCTTCCCTTCGAAACACGCATGGCAGATGAACTACATACGTTCGTAAAACTACTTGATCAAGCCCTCACTTTCACAGATTTAGCACGCACGAACACATCTGAACCCCACTCAGACATCATAGGCTCTCACCATGTCTAGACCAAAATGAACTTCAAGTTCAGTTTGCCATATTTTTTCTACTTTGCAGTCATATTATTTACTTTTACTACACTAATTCTTCACTTGAAGGAGACAAGTAACTCACTCGACCTATCGATACTGTTCAGCTAGACTCGGTCGCTAAGGGACACTCACTACCACACTAAAAAGTCAAACGGACCGCACAATCAACTGTCTACGACCAGTTGTCTTGCATCTATGGAGCCTGTTACCGATCGAATGGTTAGGACAACAGAAAATAACATCAGCACCAAGTTACTGTGAGTCTGTAGAATTATAGTCTACTATGATATTAGTACTGCTCTAATAATAGACCTAATCCTAAATTTGTAGATTTGTCATGATATAACTGCCTAATCTATAAGATCTTACGTGGAAGTCACACCATCGACTACACCAACTCACCGTATCGTATCAATTACCAATACATGATGTAGAACAAGGTTAGGCTAGAGAAGGAACAATATATTAAATATGAATAGAAGATATAAGGTAACATTCAGCAGAGACCACGCCTGCATGGCGGAGCCATGCCACTCGATCAACTCCAGACCATTCAATTCTTTATTCACGCCTTCTCCATTGTTAGGTATTTCCTCGAGTTAAATATTGAATATCTATTTTCTGAGTAGTCTCGTGTTCACAGCTTTGTGGATTGTGTGGCTATTGTCCAATGCCACTGCACTACTCTTCCACCAGAATCAACGTGATGTTGGTTCGATACCGAATTGGATGGGATCGTCGCGCGCCGGAGGTTACCAAGGATAATAAGGATCCTCCGGGTATTGATAAGCTGAAAGATAAATCAAAAGGACGGCAGCATCTGGTTGGGAAATACATGTAATAATTTTAAAATATCTGCCTTCGTGCTTAAAACGATTGAAATGAAAATTTGGGAGAAGATTATTTGAGCCATAGAAAATGGGACTGCAATAGTAATAATAAAACGATGCGCGTTAATAAATAACTTATAGGCAGTAATTATTTTGTGTTTAGAAATATTAAAAGTAATCAATATTGTAGAAATGTTAATATTGGTATTAGTTTTAGTTTAAATTATGAAATCGAATAACGATTATGCCGGTAAGTTGTCCATATGAATTGATTTCCAATTGCATCTGTATTGGTAGGCTAACTGAAGGAACAAAAGTATTAACGTGGAGAAGAATTCCAACTAGTGTTCCAGTTAGTTTGATACGGTTTATTTAGTTACCGGGAGATTTTCTCAACCTCATTTTTACTTGACCGTGATAGAATTTAGTAATACTACTAATACACATGAATGTTTATCAAAATAAAATTTAAATACATGAGTGATAATTATATGGATTTTGGACAGATAGCTAGGAAAAATCGTTAAACATGAGTGTGTTCGTAAGAGACATGTTCTAGACTCAATGTTATGATCTGCGATAGACTATTTATTTATATTTATACTTGCCGGCTGATGGGCATACAAGTTAGTTGCACGTATGCGGGCAGAATACGATTTAAATGAGATATGGTGATTATAAGTTACTGAAATCAGTTAAGCATGTGTCACATTGCTAAGTGATGTGGTGCTGTAAGATGTACTCGGCCAAATACGTTTTTATAAGATGATTAACCGTGAGTGATGCTCATGTGATTATCAGGGAGGACATAAGTTGTAACCAAGCGGAGTACACTCCCAACTCATGTCTATGATAATGGCTTGAACCTTAGTCAGTGTTGGGGTAAATTCGACATTGATGTTTTCAGTTTGCAGGAGATTTGCTCGACTGCTTATACTGATTATTTGCATGCATGATTGTGTCGCTAAACCATCAATTAGACTGACAAGGTTTTGAGATATTTACTGAATGAGCATCTGATAGAGAAACATACTGTAATCACCTGTAGTGAATGAAGATAAAAGAAAAAACTACACTAGTGATAATTATAAGTCAATCTGCTGACCGATTTTGTTAATAGTTTCATTAATTTTACCAATCATATTACGTGATTGTCAAGTCATGACAATGCTTTATGACGATATCCTGAAACTATTATGTTTAACTAGTTATGGTGTTGATTGCGGATTGGTCAGTGGAAAAATAGGTATTGTTGCTTTAGGTGATTCGAGATTATCAGAAATTTGTAACGTTAAAGAATTCGAGACGACTAATTTAATCATAAATTTTAGTTCGGAAAGATTCGTTTAGTGTTAATTCTAGTAGACTACAGAGTGTTTATTTCAAACGTTTGTTTAGCCAACAGCTACCTGAGGATTTAGTTATTTTACTGGTGCAGTTGATACTACCTAAATTTTTAATTTTGTTATCTAAACTATGTTCGCATTTTAGGCTGCTAATATGATAAACCAATCCATAAACCCAAATACGATTGGCAACAACGACTATGATGGATTTAACGATAAATGTTAAAGGCGATCCAGATGATTTCTAAATTTAGAAGACATGAAGATATAGTGCAACGTATGTATGGGCCAGGTTAACATGCAGGTTGTTGACGTATATGACGATTTAAAGATAATGAACATGACCAGAAAATAAATTTAAAGTTAAGACTGCTTATGAAACTTCAGGCAGGAATATGATGCGTTATAAACATTCCATAAGAAGTTACTGCATTTAGCCTAGGGACACTTACAAATATATAGCAAAAGGAACCGGAAAACATATACATGTTAAGTAAAAAAATCATTAAGTAAAATAGTTGAACTCGCCTGGATTATTTTTGAGAATTAGATTATTCAGTGGACGGCATATATAACGCCATTCGTGAGGAGTAGTAATGATCCAAAAGCATCCAGAATAAAACATGCAGTATGGCAATTAATTCCAGGGTGCTTGATGATGTTGACGTTTCTGCCACTCGCTCGGATTAGAACAACCGAATGAATCCAGATAACTGTGTGTGCCATTGAATGAACCATCTAAAATGACCTTATGATTGCAGAAAACCTATAGATGAAACTCACCGTATGTTTTTGGAGAAGTGTCATCCTTGTTGTTTGGCAATCGAACTCGAAATTATGAAATTAGGCAGGCAGTGGTCAGAAGAAAAGATATTACGGGATAGTGCATAGTTTAGAACAAGATGAGGTGTTAGGTGAAGGAACACGGATAATTAGGTCCAGATAACTATTTAGTCCTTGATTGCATTGTTAGTCAATGTATATTTACGCTATTTATAGGTCATATTTGCTAGAGCTTGATGTTTGAACAAGTCTATGTTGCTGAAGCATGTAAATGCTATTAAAACTTGTTAACGAACCATCAAAGCTAATTAGTTGATATAGATGATCAACTTTTATTATCGATTGAGCCAGTAAGTTATGTGAACTGATAGATATAACATTACGATAATATATGTGACCATTAATCAAAGGACTATTAGAATAGTGGGTTTACAAAAATAAAATTCGATTGAGAAGGTTAAGGTGGAAATAAGGATTAACAATAATAGGTTGCGTTTCTTTAGTTGGGCTCACCAATGTAGAATTATGGTCTACTATGATATTAGTACTGCTCTAATAATAGACCTAATCCTAAATTTGTAGATTTGTCATGATATAACTGCCTAATCTATAAGATCTTACGTGGAAGTCACACCATCGACTACACCAACTCACCGTATCGTATCAATTACCAATACATGATGTAGAACAAGGTTAGGCTAGAGAAGGAACAATATATTAAATATGAATAGAAGATATAAGGTAACATTCAGCAGAGACCACGCCTGCATGGCGGAGCCATGCCACTCGATCAACTCCAGACCATTCAATTCTTTATTCGCGCTTTCTCCATCGTTAAGTATTTCCCCGAGTTAAATATTGAATATCTATTTTCTGAGTAGTCTCGTGTTCACAGCTTTGTGGATTGTGTGGCTATTGTCCAATGCCACTACAAGTCTCTTCCTGTTTTTCCTGTATTAACATTTTACTCTTCTGTACACTATGTTGAC